GCTGAAGGTGAACTCCGTCCTAGCCTCAAATCTCTGACACATTTTCCTCTGGAATTGTCCTTGTATTTAGCACCATTCAATTCGGGCCAGTTTCCGAGTCCCATCCCATGAAAAACATCCCCATAACATGATGCTGCCACCACCATGCTTTGCTGTAGGGATAGTGTTGTCATGGTGATGAGAGTTGTTGTGTTTGCGCTACACAAAGAGTTTTTCTTGATGGACAAAAAGTAACATTTCAGCCTTATAGTATATATATTAGAGTACCTTTTTTTCACATGCCTTTTAGCCAAATCCAAAAGTGTTTTCATATTTTTTTCTTATTTTTGGGTGACTTTTCCATAAAGCTAAGCTCTGTGGAGTGTATGGCATAAATTGGTTCTATGGACAGATACTCAGATTTCTGCTGTGACACTTACTAGCTCAGGAGTATTTTTGATTTATTGATTTGTTTTAATTTTTTTAATGATTTTAATTACAGGTTTTAATGCAATTACATAATAAATATGCCAAGGGAGGTGAATATTTTTGCGAGGCACTGTATTAAAGGTTGATCAAGTGAGGGCTTGTTCAAAACCATCTTCAATCACATTTGCATTACTAAATACGTATTCAAGTGAGGAAAGGATAGGAGTGTCCCTCGAGGTATTTTCCTAGATGAATAAATACGTTGTATGTGCTCAGCAGTTTTTCATACATGTAATGTACCTGGTGAGTCATCTGAGCCCTATATTCATCACACCTGTTGTGTTGTCTTGTTTGGCCTATTCATGACTGAACAGGTGAGGCTCATGTTAATCCCCAGGGAGTGGCTGGGTGCGTCAATGTCTCCTCTTGACACACAGTGACAGTTGGATATTTTTCTCATAGTATCCAACTTCATGCTGTGTCCCGTGGAAAAAACACTAATGTCAGCTTCCTAGTTGTAATACATACAAGTGACTTCCCACAACAATGATATCTTTGACAGAGTATTGGCAAACACGTTAACCATTTGAAGTGAAAAGTACAATGTTGTCTGCATAAATGTTGATCTTGTATATGTTCTGCTTTAATTCCTTTGAGGTGTATTCATTGATGGATAGCTTCTAGTGGTTCAATGATTTTTGAACTAATCTAAAGCCTTTAATCAGCTGCCTGGGGCTGTCCTCCTGTGTTTGCTCTCTCTATACCAGGGGTATTCAACTCAAATTCAACGAGGTCCAGTTAGAGAAAATCTCCCCATGCAAAGGTCCGGAACATCAACATGTCTAAGTTGCTTTATGAATTAGTGTGATATATATAGAGAGGCGAAGTCCCTCCCCTTCCGGTTGAGCTCCATGGGACCTTATTTCGGAAAAGTTATGCATTGAAGTCAATGGAGAGAGAAAGATTATCTTTCGATCCCGTTTGAATTGTGCCACAAATTACACATATGATGTTTGTCAATTTAAAAGATAATTTTACAAGTCAAAAAAATTCAAATGTGTCGTAAAACTGAAGTAACACTTTTTTTGTGTGAAACCGCTCAATGAACTACATCTCCCGTCTCGCACCACACACCAAGACGGCCGTCACGTTGGCACATCTCACTTCTTTCTTTCAGAATGAGGCGAAAAGTATTAAAAGAGGTGAAAATCACTACAAGTCTGGGCATGTTGAGAGCTGTACATACACACAAGGGGAGTTAGTCGGTTCCGTAAGAGCCAGCATGCAGGACCGGGATTCTGGGATTTGTAGTCTTTCTAGTTGCGTATTTTTCATAGTCTTATATTTCAACAGTTTTACGACAAACAGTGACTTTTTTGACATGGAAATTATTATTTAAGATTGACAAACATCATATGTGTAATTCGTGGCACAATTCAAACGGGATCGAAAGATAATCTTTCTCTCTCCATTGACTTCAATACAAACTTTTTCCGAAATAAGGTCCCATGAGTCCCACCGGAAGGGGAGGGACTTCGCCTCTCTATTGAAGTAGCCTGTCGCTTTATCAACGTCTGCATGTAATCAACAACTTACTGCCAATCAAATGAAGAAAGTACAATTCAAAAACAAAAATATTTATTGTCAATTACCATTGAACTATACAGATATACAGTAAATACTGTGGATATGTGTAATGTTCCTCTCGGGCTGCATTTAAAAATAAAATAGAGAAAATAAATAAAATAGCTTTTGAAAATGTGTGCATCTTAAAAGTACTTCATTTTAGATAAATAAAATAATCAGCCGATTACAGAACAATATCAGTCTTTACATCATAACAATTGAACAGTTTTAAAGTTTCTCTTTCTTTCCCTCTTATATTGCAGTCCCTCACTCACTTTTTTTTAATTCAGTGCGAGAATTGAGCTCGAGCTTGTCCTGCCAGGAGTTTAAATCTGGGCTGAAATGGTGTCAGGGCCATTCTCATACACACATGCAGGTGCTCATTGGTTAGCCTCGGTTAGCCTGCCCTGGAACGATATTTAGTTTGAATTTTGATCCTGGTAGACTGATCATATCGGGCTCTGAGACTGCTTATTTTTTGTGACCTCAGTTCTGACTTGAGAGGGAATGTTTGGTCAAACACTTTGTGTTTTGTCTCATAGTGGCGTTTTGGCACTTTTAATGAGCGCCACGGTCTCTGAATGAGACACACTGGTTCTGTGCTCCCAGTGGGCAGGATGAACATGAATGAGTCCGTCCACTCAGGGTTAAAAGCTCTGTTCTCACTGTCCACTTTCCTCTTCTTGGAGAGCGCCATGTGTAATTATTTGTCTCTCCCTGTCTGCCGCTAACACGCCTGTTCACTCTCCTCTCCGCTTCTCTCCCTGTATCGCTAATTATTCTCTTCACTCACTTTCCTCTCCGCTTCTCTCTGCCGCTCTCTCGTCTCTTCTTCTGTGTTTCTCTCCCTGTATCGCTCACTCGTCTCTTTCGCCCCCTGTCGGCGGCGGTTAAAATAGAATCGCCCCGTCAAAATTGAAATCCCCTATTAATGTATTGATTATAGGTCCGGGTCCGTATAGGTCGGCGTCTGGGTCCGGATCCGGACCGCGGTCCGCCTGTTGCCGACCCCTGCTCTATACCATAAAAAAAAGAGTTGGCTAGTTAGCTGGAGCCTGAACATAGCATTCAGTCCTAGAATGGGTCCTTGTTGTATTGATAAGTGTGTTATATATGTGTTACCTGTAGGAGGCAGTTTTACATCTGAACATCATTGTGTTAAAACAAGAAGTGGAAGGTCACAGGTGTTACTAGTGATAATACAATAACGGACCTAGCAGAAGTAGCATGACATTCCAACTGGATATGTTTTTATTGCTCTGCAAATGAAATATTTGACATCTTTTTATTTTGCCAACAAACTTTTCCCAGGATCAGGGAACCTGCCCTGCAAACACAATTCCACAGCCAACGGGAGTGTAAAACCTAAAACAAATATTGTACCTGGCAAGTCATAAAATCAGATTTCCATATTCAGCCCTGTTTAACCCTGAGATATCTTTTTTCATTACATTTAAACCTGTATCTGTGCCAAATGTGTTTCTTTTATTGCAAAATGCAATTAGTTTAACCTAGCTGCCCCACTACAGGCAACAGTCAGCAGGCTACGCCCTGAACAATTCACAGAAAGTGAATGCAATTCCTCTTTTGATACATGAATAGGGTGCCAAATTTCAGACCTCATCTCAGGACTGTCTGTGCATGTATAGACTCTGCTCAACTGACACCCTACTGTCTATTTACTGTTAGTTTTGTTTTTGTTTGAACATGACAACACTTCAAAATGTCAAGGCTGACGGTGCATAGCTCCACCAAGTTCAAACAAGGTGGGCCCTAATCCACCAGAATAACTGGAAACACCTGTGTTAGTCGAACGGATGTTTCATTGAAAATTGAGACAATGGATGTAAATCCGTAGCCCTAATTTCTAGGGTGTTTTCTCTTTAAAAGCCAATCAATGTGAAATAAATAATGATATTTCACAATGACAAGATTGTTGACCAGTTTAGGTGAAATGGATAAATAATAACTTAAAAAACTATTCATAATAATAAAAATAAAGAAAGCAGCTGAACAAAAAGCTAATAAATTCACCTGGTGGTAAGTTGAATGTGTGACCACTAGATGGCTCCAAAAAGCATAGAAGAATGAACAGGATAAAAGAAACGGAATAAGTTAACATTTATATCAAGTTATCAAGACAGTCTAGAATAAAAATAGAATACAATAAAGGTATATTATCATTTTCAGGCACATGTTTCACAGGAACTCCAAGAAAGAACTTAACTGAATTAGTGTATTTAGTCCTGGATAAGCTGTGGCTTCTATTTGGTGTTTATTAAAACATTAATTAATTGTAGCAAAATTAAATCGTTCTCCACCCGACTGTTGTTAATGATGGTTTCTAGATCTTCAACCATGAGGTTGTCATATTGCTGTTATGTACTTTTTGAGAGTCATGGGGTAATCCACATTTGCTTTTCTAATTGCATTATTGCTTTGAGACTCTTTCTTTCTGACGTATTTTAGTTTGAGTTACGTGAAAGCAAACACAGGTACAAGATAAGTGGTACACAACAAACGTACTGTAGCAGTAATGTGTTGGCATACACAATAAGGCCTAAAGTCACTGATTGTTTTCATTGCTTTCTATAAGCACAATGTTCTTTTTTTTTTAATGTATTGTATGTATAGCAATAGATTGTTGATTTCTTACTATTAGCAGGAAGATGGCTAGGCACCATTGTCCTGGAGTGTGGGGGCCATCTTGAAACTGTTGTTGAAACTAGTTTGAGTGTATTTTTCTTTCAGTACATTTTTTAGAGAGCAGCATCCTGTGACAAAGTAGACCTTCTCCTGTCCTAGAGATTATCTTTTCTGTTTTAAAGGAAGTCAGATCTCGAGGTACATTGGGCTTTTTGTAAGCATCCTGGATGATTATTGGTTTTTAACATGTCTGTGCTAATCAGTCTGACACGATTGCATCCTTATTTTTCACACTCTTGACTTCATCTATTGCTTTACAGCTGCAGACTGTTGCTGTGGTGAAGGCCAACTCTGAAGACAATTTGGTAAGAAGTAAAAGAGTATGGCTTCCCCCGCCAAAGCAATTGATGGAAAATAAAAACTACTCTCACGATAAAACTGTTGCCAAGGTGAGTCATTGCTCTTTAATTTAAACTCTCTGAAAGGCTTTACAAATCAAGGGTTAGGACTAGGGTTAGGATTATCAAATATACAATCATTTTGGATTAAGTGTAAATACTTATGAATGGATGGAATGCTAACGTGATCATATATATTGCATTTTTTGTATTATTTTTTATAAATATAACCATTTATTGAGGTTCTCAGAAGTGTCAGGAGTGTTTACCTGACATTGAGATGAACAAATCTGCAAAAATATAATAAAAACAAGTCACCAGAGGGAGCTACTGGAACATTTTCATCATGCTCAACAAAATGGAGACTAGTTACCACAGACAAGCCTGTACCTGCAGGGTGGAGTTTTCTAAAAGAGAGCACAAGGGTTAGGGTTGGTTAGGGTTAACCCTAACCCTTGACAGTAGCATTCTGAGACATATATAAAATGAAGATTTAGAGTTTTTGGTTGTTTTTCTCACCATGAAAGATATATTTAATTTTTTTAATTTTTCCTGGTTAACAATGTTTTTGTTGTTCCTTCTGGTGCAGTGGAATGGTGAATGTGAATTAGTGTGTTTAACTGAATCAGCTCTGCATGTGTTTCAGATTCATTCGGATAAAGATGACAAACAGGGAAATGTTGATTACTCTCTAGAAGGCATTGGCGCAAACCAAGATCCCTTCCATGTGTTTGTCGTCGACCATAGAACTGGAAACATTCATGTAACCAAAATTCTGGACAGGGAGTTCATTGACACTTACAATGTGAGTTCTACTTCTTCTGTGCATTTCATAGATATTAAAATATATTACAGTCAGATGCAACACATCAATGTCACAGGCTATTCATGTTTGTAAATTAAACTGCTAATACATTTGATGAAAACAGCAACATTTGACTCTACTGTTTTAGCTAAAAGGTGTTGCTACGTTCAAGAATGGCACGCTTGCAGAGGACAATATTGACATACGGTTCAAAATCAAAGATCAGAACGACAATCCACCAGTGTTTGGAGACATGAAGGCCGGGGAGGTAACTGAGCTTAGTCCTCGAGGTAAGATATTTTCTTTTGAGGTCAATTTTAACAAATGTCGATCCTGTTTTGAGATGGCAATGCAATCTTTAATGGTTTGCTTAAATAATGGATTGGGGTAAGGGTTAGGGTTTATTTCACAACGATACCTATCCATGTTTCCCCCATCAGCAACCCTCTGATGATAAACGGTTATAGATTGCAGGGCTAGCTTGTTAACAGTGATGTTTACTATCTGTTAGTCTTATTAATTTCTGCGATTGTTAGAGCATAGCTGTGTTTATTAGCAGCCTTGTCCACCTTTCGATCGGAATAATACTATAGGCCTACTGTCATTTAAAAAAAATCTTATTTTCATATCATCCTCGTGAGCATGCATGAGATGAATCTCTATAAAAAGATTCCGCATATTAATGCAGTTGTATGCAGTAAGCAGTCCGTTTGCAAAGAATAAGAGGCAGCATGCATTGCCCTTAATGCAATCTCAGAACCCATTGGCTATCATTTGACAATGTTCTTTTAAAAGGACTACTTTTTTTACAATGCAGTCGTAGATGTTGCCTCTCAATTCATACCCCATTCTCACATTTCAAATTTCTCACCCAACTCTAAACAATGAGCAACGCATGAAAAGGTGTTGGCTTTATTATGTGCCTAATTGTGCTTCAACTGTGCTCATGTGTTTTAATTGTGCTCATGTTTTTTCTGTGCTTATGTCCTGTTATTGTGCTCATGATTATGTACTCTTTTATGTCTTCTTTTAATGCCAATAGTCTGCCAAGGAATGCAGATGAAGCATTTATGGCTGTATTTGGCACATTTACATGATGGACTAAAGTGCTCGTGTTCAAATATTGGTACTTTATTTTTATTTTTTATTTAACCAGATAAAAACATTGAGATAAAATCTCATTTTCAATGCTGACCTGACCAAGAAGGCAGCAACGTTACACATAACACATAACACAAACATATAAAATACAGAGAACATAACTAAGAAAACAAAAGACGAAAAAGCAGTCACTACATTGTGCACATTAGGACAGTAAGAAAAGTACACTACTTGTTACTGCAAGAGCAGCTGGTGGTGAGGACTTCAGACAACTTCAATTTAAAACATGCTATTGAGACAAGTGCCCTCAGTTTAAGGCGTGATTGAAGGTCATTCCAAGACCAAGGACCATAATAAGAAAGACTCCTTTTTCCAGCCTCAGTCCGCACAGCAGGTACCTGGAACCGTATCCAGGTACATTTTCCCTTAATAAATTAAAATTAAATAAAAGATGGGATTCGGTGATCTGCTGAAATTACAAGTCTTTCGAGCCCCTTGTCTTTAAAGGAGAACAAAATCAGCTACACATATTAGAGTAAATATTAGGGCTTCAAGTTAACGCGTTAATAATGCGTTAACGCAAATCATTTTTAACGCCACTAATTATTTTAACGTGCAATTAACGCATGTGTATTTGTCCTCGGCCCGCCCCGTAGTTTCAGATCCCAAAGGCTTTACGTTGTTGTTGTAGTTGTTAGTTTGATGGTGGGAGATTCTAGCGAGAGATATGGATACAAAAAAATGTGTTTTAAAGGTGGGGTAGGTAAGTTTGAGAAACCGGCTCGAGATACACTTTTTGTTATATTCCATGGAATGCTCTTAACATCCCGATAGCAATGAATATCTTAAGTGCTTTGACAAAAAATCCATAAAAAAATGTCATCTGTGGAAGCCGTAGTACTGTAAAAAGCACGACCAATCATTTTAGCCGGCCCGGCTAAAATAACTGGATGGCCTACCTGCCTGTCAGCCTTCCATCTGTGCACAAACTTATCTCGTGCCCTCATTGGTCATGTGCACGTTCGTGTGTGTTGGAGGAGGGGCTCTGTAAGGAAGTGGCAGATTTTCTCCGGTTGTGTTATTTCAAATTCTAGCGATCTCGAGCCAGTTTCTCAAACGTACCTACCCTACCTTTAAATAGCAAGCCAAGCACACAGCTGATGCTGACAACCCCGCTCCTGCCGCTCGCTTGCGGCAGACCACACTTGAAAGTTTGCCGGGGAGACGCCTGGACAACAACAGCGATAGCTAAATGGGTGGCTACAGCTTAACATTGTGGAGGACGAGGGGCTGCGTTAGATAATTCGGATCACATCCAACGTGTCGACTGCACATCACATCACAGCGCATTATTTTGACCCACAGTGGGAACTTCAGTCTCATGCTTTGACTGAAGATGAAGACAGAGGAGCGGCATTTCGCCGACAACTGTAAACAGGCTTGTCTGTTTGAGCAACTGGCTCAGTGCAAAGAAGTACACAGGGTTGGGAGAGAGTGTAGGAGAGAGAGAGAGGTTCCAGGTTGTTGTGTTGCAAATATTCAGGAGAATATTTGTCATTGTTCCAATGATAATAAACAAACATTTGCATAAAGCATATTTGTCCACTCATATGTTGATAAGAGTATTAAAAACTTGAAAAATATTCCTCTAAGGTACATTTAGAACAGATAAAAAATGTGCGATTAATTTGCGATTAATCGCGATTAACTATGGACATCATGCGATTAATCGCCATTACATATTTTAATCGACTGACAGCCCTAGTAAATATACTTTACACAATCTTCAGGCCTCAAGGATAATGTATTTTTTGTCTATTGGTGAAAATAGCCTACTGGATATAAATATATATTTCATACAACAAAACTACAATTCATTTTCAAGTTTTGGGGACTGTTCAGACATTCAGCCATACAAAGTGCAAAACAGATCTTCCAATTTCTGGACAACCTGCTCTACCTCCTTATTTCCTCTTTTACAGGCACTTCAGTTATGAATATAACGGCAACTGATGCTGATGAACAAGGGAATAAGAACTCTCAGATCGCCTATACTATCCTTCATGAAAACCCACCTGATGGGATGTTCGGCATTCATCGAAATGGGACTGTCTATGTCAATAGCCCAGACCTGGACAGAGAGGTACAGTACAAATTGCATCCAATTATGTCAATTGCAGTGAACTTCAATTCGAACTCCATCAGAATCGGAGGGAATCATCCACTTTAATGGTCACACATCACACACAGTGAGATTTGGCCTCTGCATTTAAACCATCCTAGTACCAGGAGTCTAGTACTAGGAGCAGTGGGCAGCTATTGTACAGCGCCCGGGGAGCAATGGGAGTGAGGGGGGAAGGGGGATGTCCGGTGCCTTGCTCAAGGGCACCACGGACATCAGATGACAAATGTCAGCTAATCCAATCACCATGCAAAATCGATCATGAAGGTGTTGATGATTTGAGAGCAATCATGTGGAGTTGCCCCCCCAAGCCCCTTTCCAATCTTGTTGTTGTAGCTTTTTTTTTACGTTTATTTTTTACCAATACAGTCGGTTGACTTATACATAATGTCGGCTGCTGAACTGAGCATTTGACTAAACAGTGTATCAAAAGTCTCTGTGTAATGTGAAAGGTTTCGCTCAAAGTGATGAATCCACAGATAAGTGTCGTATATTTTTTTTCTGGCCTGCATATCTTATTAATTTACACAAACATAAATGTGAGTTAAAATGTGCAATAAAAGTAATTTCAGCCACTGGGGCACAGCATAGACCAGTGGTTCTCAAACTTTTTCTGTCATTCCCCACTTTGAACAGGTGGGCCTTTTCAAGCCCCACCTGTCCCTCATCGCTCCAATAAAATGGTAGGCCAAGCTTAAAATGGTCAAATATATCGTTCAATAACAGGGGTCTCAAACCTTTTTTAGGATGAGAGCTACTTTCAAAAAATAAAACAAGTCGTGAGCTACTTTTACTCCTCTTTTTTTGTTTTTTGCAGTGTATATATTTAGCACATTTTATTATTATTATATGCTTACCTTTAACCTTTGTGTGTTGTTTGGGTCTGTGGGACCCGTTTTCAGTGTTTACTAAAGGAAAATGTATGCAATTTAATTATTTTTAACCTGCTTTATGTGGGGGTGGACCTCACATCCTCTAGGGGGGGGATCTTTTTTTAAATGTTGAAGTCAAATGCATCAATCTGGTGCACTTTGAGCACAACATGAATTTATGGATACAGCTCTCAACACTCATATGAAAGGGAGCTGTATATTACATTACATTACATTTCATTTAGCTGACGCTTTTATCCAAAGCGACTTACAATTACAGTAACTAAGGGCTAAGTGCCTTACTCAAGGGCACACTAGTGGTGGTGTTCCTGGCGGGATTTGAAGTCACAACCTTCCGATCTTCAGCCCACCTCACTATCCATTAGACCACCACTATCCCTTTATGTATACTTTTCAATAATCCAAACATCTTTAGAATATGATCACAACCAATAACAAATCATTTAAACTTGTTTATTCTTATCTTATGTTACCTAGTTAGCATTCTTTCTTTTTATTAATGCATATTTTACTAATCACTCCCGTAGGATTTCTTTATTTTTTACAACTATATTAAATAGATAAAGGTGTGCTCTCTCTCGCTCTCGCTCTCTCTGTTTCGCTCGCTCACATAGGCTGTGTGCTCCTCCGTGGCGATGACGGCTTGCGTTAAAAAATAATAATAAACATAGGCCTATTTGTAAAGTGGGGGGACACAAATGGGATTTCGAAAAGTGTCACGGTTAAACTCCTTATGAAGTGGTGAGGTGCCGCTCCACATTGCTTTTCTTCCCGACTGCAACGCTGTTGTGTGTGTGTGAGAGCGTTTCACATGTGTGTATGAGAGATTTGTACATATGTCTGTAAATTATTTTGGTTTCAGTTGTGTGTGTGTGAGCAGGCTCGCATTGGCCATCGGGAGATTCGGGACTTTTCCCCGTGGGCCGCTGCCGTTGGTGGGCTGCTGCCTTCGGTGGGCCGCTGGCTCTGGCATACGTGGGCCGTGGACTTTCACAGCGCCGGTACCGCATCCGCCGCCGCATCCGCCGCCGCAAACAACCGCCGTTGCGAGGCTCCGGCGGCTCCGGCACAGCGGCGAAAGTCCACTGCCGTTGAGAGTCTCCAGCTGTAACAGTCCACTACCGCCCGCGAGGACCCAGGTTCGATTCCGGCCTGAGGTCCAAAAAATGTATTTAAAAAAATAATAATAATAATCTCCCGTTCATCGCGTCCATTCGCGACCCACCTATACCTATGTGGGGCGCACCCAACACACTTTGAGAAACGCTGGCATAGACACAGCGTCTGAGGAACAGGAACGTCTGCTGCAGCACAGAGACCCTCCGAAGACTCAGGCTCATGGTTAAGAAATGGTGAAGCTCTCGATGCAATCCTTGTCGGCCCAAACAGTCCGATAGTCATCAAAGAAAACTTTGGAACTTTGTTGATGGAAACGTCGTGGATGGAAAATCCTGCTGCAGCCACTATTGTGTAGCGCTGTCTAAAGCCGTATAGATTATTAAAGAACCTTTACTTGTGCAGAGTAATTACCTCATATCTTGCAAAATATGTGCTTTTGCATTGACACAACAGAGTTTACAACTTGAATAAAACAGAGCATTTTTGAGATTTTACAGCATGCTTATGTCTTCACATAGGCAACACAATTTATCTATTTTGGATTTAGGGTATCTAAAACATTCCCCACTGAATTAAACAGTTAAGAAAAACCCTATTGGGGTTTCAATGAGATATATCTTCTTGGTAATCTATCTATCGTAGACCACCAGGGCAACACCTTGACATGAATTTTTCTCTAAGTACAAAATTGATTGTTGCAGCCACTGCTCTTAAATCCTCTGTCATTAGTGTCTCTGGTGGATATATAATATTGAATATAACACCCAGGCAGAGCACTTTAAAGTTGTTCATGGCAGATTTATGATAAGGTCCCCACTCTAACTCTGAATGAGATTACCAAGTTAAGTGGCTGTTAATTCTATAACTGTTGGCAGTTGCAGGAAGTCATAGCATTGCGTCTCTGAGCAAACTGAGTTATAATTAATTGATCCCCCTTTGAAATTCACACTTTTTATATTGGTCCCATCTCACAGCAATATGATTAGGTGCCTGTAGGGAGGCGTGTGGTGCAGTGGGTTGTGCGTTGGTGTTCGGATCAGGGGGTCACAGGTTCAAACCCCACTGCAGTCAGCATGTCGTTGTGTCCCTGGGCAAGACACTTCACCCCAAATTGCTCCTGTGGGGATTGTCCACAGTATTGAGTATGTAAGTCGCTTTGGATAAAAGCATCTAACAGGTGACATGTAATGTAAGTAATTTGTGACTGTTTTTCTTATTTTAGAGAGTCGATCAGTACATTCTTACGGTCCAAGGTACAGACTTAAATGGTGCACCAGGTGGACACATTGCAACCGGCACTGTTGTCATTGATGTCAAAGATGTGAATGACAACCTTCCCACTTTGGAAAAATCTGAGGTAGATTTCTTACTCACACTCTTCTATATCAACATGAACTGCATCAACAAATAAAACACATTCTGCATCTCATAATGTGTTTTACTTACTTTACAGTATGAAGCCAGCATTGAGGAGAACACAGACGAAGTGGAGGTGATGAGGATCAAAGCAGAGGACGTGGACATGAGGGCCACAGATAACTGGGAAGCCGTGTTTGACATCGTCAAGGGCAATGAAGCCGGATACTTCAGCATTAAAACAGACCCCATAACCAACGAGGGCATCCTAATGCTCGACAAGGTACTGCTGAGTGAGCAACACAGAAGCTTGCCCATAATGAAAGTTTTAGATGTAGACATGAATGGGTACTAACTCAGAAACAAACAAGTGAAACTGTGATCTAATTGGCATTTAGGTCAGCATTTAGGGTGGCTGTTAGTCAGTGTCATCTAAGGCTGCCATCTGAGCACTATATATACAAAACGTGTCCAGAAACAGCTACGTTTGTATAATTTAACAGGCAATAAGCTTTACATCAAACAATATATTTTATGCTTCATTGAAGATACACAGAATAATAAAACGTAAACTTATAATGAGTGATTCAGTGAGTTCCACCTTGGCCACACTGTATCTGATACTGTTGGATGTGATCAGGAACACACAGGCTTCCTTCAGCTAAGCCGTTTAATTTGTGAGTACCATAGCTTGACTTATTTACACACGAACAGCTGTTACAGCCAACATGTAGTTGTCCTTGAGTCTTAATTTCACTCAGTCCTAGTTTTACACAAAATGATGTCTTTGACAACTGTTGAAGTGGACCTTTTATGTTTTGGGGTTTTCCCTTTCCTGTAGTGTGTTATAGGCAGGGCCGTCCCTGGTCAACATGAGGCCCCACGCAAAGTTATATGATGAGGCCCTCTGTTTCGCCTCGACGGGGGGGGGGGTGCTAGTGGAGCCTCGCAGCGGCGAAACCGTGCCGCGCCACACTAATTGCGCCGCATAAGCGCATAGTTGCGCCACATTTTCGGCTCACTTGAGGCACGCTCCGCAAGATGAGGCCCCCTCCGCAGTCAGCATGATCGGCCTGTAGGGAGGGACGGCCCTGGTTATAGGTGTATGTGCATGTAAATGGTCTGCAAAGGCATAAATCCCAAAGTTCTCTCCAGAGGGAGTTTCTCTACCACACACGCCCCCCCTGCCCGAAACGTCTCAATTGGACTCCTAACATAATGACATGGCTATGTAACACTCGTGCTTTTATTGGCTAGCGCTCCAACACATTGTGCCTGATAGGCTAAGGGGCGGGACATCTCTAAGCGGTTGACCAATCACAACAGAGCAGTCCAGCTAACCCAATCAGAGCAGACTGGGCTCTGGTTTCAGACAGTGGTTGGAAAGAGGTGCTGCAGCACAGGCAGTATGAGATAAATAAAGACCTTTCTGAACATTAAAGCATGGAGACATGTCACAGTAGAGGCAATAAATACAAACATGAACCTGGACATTTGCATAATAGGGCCCCTTTTTATACTTGCTAATACAAATCTCTGTTCATTGTATGTGTGCCATCTGACAGGCTGTGAATTATGAGGATGTGAAAAACCTTGAACTTGGACTGGTTGTAAGGAACAAGGCTTCACCTTATGATGAATCTGGAGGGGCATCCGGTGCAACAGTTGGTTCCGGTGGTTCCGGTGGTTCAGGTGGTTCCGGTGCTTCAAGTGGTTCCGGTGCTTCAAGTGGTTCCGGTGCTTCAAGTGGTTCCGGTGGTTCAAGCGGTTCCGGTGGTTCAAGCGGTTCCGGTGGTTCAAGCGGTTCCGGTGGTTCAAGCGGTTCCGGTGGTTCAAGCGGTTCCGGTGCTACAGGTGCTTCAGGTGGTGGATCAGGAACCACATATAAGACCTATCCCATCAAAATCAATGTGAAGAACAAGCCAGAGGGGCCAAGTTTTGACCCCAAAGTAAAAGCTATTCCCATCTCAGAGAGAAGCTCTGTCAGCATTAATGAAGTAATTGGCAGCTACCCCGCAATGGATGGAGACACTGGGAAAGCAGCTGAGAATGTCAGGTCAGTGCATAAACACACACATACAAATGAAAAAATCTGCAAGTACAACATCAGCTTGATTTTCTACACTCAATGATAATACCTAACACAGTGTTTCTCTGATGTAGGTATCTCAAAGGCTCAGATCCTGGCAACTGGCTCACATTTGACCCAAAGACAGCTGAGATCAAACTGAACAAGATGCCAGATAGAGAGTCTCCATTCCTGACCAACGGGACGTATTCTGTTGAAGTACTCTGCATTACAGAAGGTAACACCTACTTTGTATCTACACCCAGCATCAGATGTTTTTATGTAATGCTAGAATTCTAAGTGAACATGATCTGTGGGAAAGTATGACACATCAAGCTTAAAGTCTAAATCTGGTCATGACTTAAACTGAAATGTTTCAAAGTGAAGCATTGTAGAAGCTAAGGTGGGCCCCAGCGGGACAACAGCCGTTGGTTAGCGACCTGTGACAGCACCCGACTGTCACTCAAAGTGGCCAATACCATAATTATACCTAATGTAGGAGCCACATTTGTGTTTATTACGGTACATGTTTTTGAGTCACTATAGGTGGTGGGCGTGTCAAAGGATTTGTGTGGTGACGTTAGATGGAGGGGGAGTGAGCTGGAGAAGGACAATTTTTGTTGACCGCACGCACGCACGCATGCATAAAAGAATATACATATGGATATGGACTATTGAACTTTTGCTTTGAAAATAAAAGGTCAAACGCATACTGTTGGAAAGACTGAGTTTTTGCGCGTCCACAATGTTTTTCTCTTGTTTAGTCCCTCGCGGCACTTTGTTTGAAAGATTACTGCCGCAATACCTAAGTTTAAGCTTAAATATAATTTAAACAGGTTCATTATAAACGATCCAGCCCCTGCATGTTTATGAATTGGGCGATAAGCAATAGAGACCTTCGTTGCCCACTAGCAGAAGAAGGACTGATGCATTTGTCTCTGAACTTGTGTATGTATAATAAAGAAGGAAACAAAGGAAATAATGAATGATTTGTTTTTATTTCTGGTTATTTCTCCAACATAGACATGCCTTCTGTAACAGCCACTGGCACAATAGCCATCCAGGTGGAGGATTTCAACGACAACTGCCCCATGCTAATCAGTGACTTCCAGACTGTATGTATCCCTAATGGTGCCGTTATTGTGGAGGCTAAAGATGACGATTTTTTCCCCAATGGAGCTCCTTTTGTCTTTGAAATCATCCCAGAGGGCACTAAGGGCAAATGGCAGGTGGAGCACTACAATGGTGAGGAGAATACGGTGAAGATTTAAACGTGATGTAAATAGACCTGAAAACATCCAAATAGATATGCACACTGAAGTATGAAGATAGTTAGAACAGGCTCTGTGTCAACATGAGTCAGTGTTTACCACATATTAATGTCATTTCAAAAACAAATTTGAATTTAGAGTTTTATCCAAAATATTAGAGAAAACATATTGACTTGCCGCACTCATCATCTGTTCGTCTCATGCCTGCAGACACTGCAGCCATTCTGAGGGCCAAGGAGTACCTGTGGCCCGGTTTCTACGAGGTGACTTTTGTGGTGAAGGACCAGCAAGGGCACGCCTGTCCAGAACCACAGAAAGTGACGGTCCAATCGTGCACCTGTGAGGATGGGGAGATGTGTGGAGAACGAGGCAAAAATGGTCAGAGCAAAAGAGACATAGAGTTAGGACCTGCAGGCATCGGACTGCTGTTCCTGGGTCTGCTGTTGCTACTATGTGAGTATGATGAGATGCTCATGGGATGAAGGTTATTGGCTCTGTTCACACTACAAACCTTATAGTTGGACTAAAACTGTTGTATTTTTTCAGTCTTACTTCTGTTGCTGCTCTTCTGCAAATGTGGGGACGCCACAGGCTTTACTGAGATGCCTTTC